CGGTCATATCGTCGTAGTGCTTAGGCGAAGCCCTGCACTGGTAACTTCATCATCACCGTCGCCACGCCGTCGTGCTGACGGAACTCTCCCTCATCCTCAACTGGATCAAGAGATCGAGGGACGTCATCAAGCTAAAGTGTGCTGAACACGGAGGTGCCGTACATTCGGTACTTGGATCAGTTGGATCGCGAAGACGTTCGACTACATCAACCGCGTTACTAAACGCTTCCGCTTACGGTCTACGAGGGTACATGGACACACTCTCCTTGCTCGTTGCTATACTTCTCCTAGATAGATCTTGCATGATCGTAGGACTTTTCTTGAAATACTACGTTCCCCAACACCGGGGCGGCAGCCCGAGACCTCTAGGATGAGAACCGATTTTCTTTTCCGTTCTAGCCTCTACATGCATTTGACCTACTCATACTCAGACTCGTTATGTAATAGATGTATTATGTTGTGACATGGATGCCATATATTTGGAGTTTGCCTCATGTGAGACCTATGTATTTACATTTTTTTCTTCTTAGTTGGTTTCGGAAACGATATTCCATCGATGTAAACCTCGTGTCATATAACCACGTGTGTATGGTTGAAGTTATACGATACGAGGAGGTATCAGACGCCCCTCTATTCTGGACTTGGCAGCAACACACTAAGTCTGTAATAGTTTCGCATCCGGGACATTACAGACTTGGTACCAGAGCAGGACCGTCCATTGGATCCCCTTTTGATGGTCGTCTAGTAAACAAAGTATTTTCTAGTTATATAGGTTAAATATCGCGAAGGTGAGATTCTTCTGACTTCTTTCCCAAACACCCACCCTCTCATAAAGTGGAGTGGCGTACATGATTTTATTCTTGCCTTATCTAAATTCAACTTGTTAGGTTCTCGATGGTTTGGGAATTACGTACACCTTTAGGATAGATTCCAATTCAAGTGTTGCTTCTTTCTGTCGGTTGATGCCCTATCATAGTTTTTTCACAAATTGGGTGGAAATGCTAGTTGCGCATTCAGTCTCATTCAAGTAAATCCTTGCATATTGGATGATTTACCTTATTGTACCTTGGAATTATCTGATAATTCCGTTCTTTGATTCCAATTCTTGTGTTATGTCAACTAATCCTATTGTTATCTCCATGGCTCTGACTAAGGGCAGGACAACTCAAGGTGGGGGCAACGACCCTGAGGGTGCAAATCATCCATCGCCTCCTCCTCCTCCACCTGAGTTGATGCACTTCCTAATGTCAATGGAGCAAAATTGGCAACTCATGGCGCAAATAATGGACACCACTGCTCTCAACATGGCTCAATCCAACCGATAACAACAGGAGCGTGACGCACGAGTCAGGCTCAATGACTTCCTCGGCTCTAGACCGCTAGAGTACCATTCCTCCGAGGAGCCTATCGATGCAGAAGATTTGATTTGGGATATCACGTGCTCTCTGTTCGACGCCAACGTCGTCCCGGAGGACTTTGTCAAATTTGCTTCGCACCACCTTAAGGACGTGCCAACAAACTAGTGGGCCAACTATCTGGAGATGCATGTTGAAGGGCAGGCCATCACTTGTGAGAACTTCCTCAAGGACTTTCCCACCTATCATATCCTAGACGGACTGACTGATAAGAATAAGGAAGAGTTCATGAGCTTAACTCAAGGCGAGAAGACGGTAGATGAGTACAACCGGGAGTTTATGCACCTCGTTTGGTACGTTGGTTATGCGACGTCGATGGACGCTAAGCAGCAATACCAGTTCCACAAAGGCTTACAACCGGATGTGAAGTTCTCCATCAACCTTCAGAAGCCCGAGATCCTCCTTGAGTTGGTCAACATGGCTATTAAAGCTGAAGCCGGGAAGGCAACTCACGATGAATACAACAAATGTTCCCTTCCTCAACAACATCACCAAAGAAGCGTGCGATGTGGATCCCCGACCACAACTACGTCAGAACTCCTTATGCTCCTAGCTTGGTGGGATTTTCCCTCACTCACCACCCCAGGCCTAGCTCCAAGGAATCCTAGAGGGCATCCAAGGCCAGGCGTTCCTCGTACTCGACCTGATGTGATGTGCTGCAAGTGCGGCCAGCAGGGACACTACTGTGACAAATGCCCCTAGGACCGGCTTCCTCCTCCTCCTCATCCACCTCATCCTCCTTCGACACAAGCATGATGCAAGCACCTCCTCCCACCCGGGGCTCCCTACAACAACACAACAAGCTTGGTGCAGGACGTGCAAGGGTCAAGCGTGTTAAGGTCGATGAAGCTCAAGAAGATACCAAAGTCATAATCGGTAATCTCCTCGTAAATTCAATTCTAGCCAAAGTTCTTTTTTATTCTGGTGCTTCACACTCTTTCGTTTCGCAACATTTTTGCTGAAATTCATGATCTACCTTGGAGTACATTGCCTAAACCTTTCACTGTGCTGTCTCCGGACAAAAGGATGAACGCCTACCTGGTTTGCCCTGATGTTTAGATCAAAGTTGGCTATCTTTCTTTCTATGCTTCTCTTATAGTACTTAGACAATATTCTAATATTGATGTTATCTTCGGCATAGATTTGCTAGTTTCCAACAAATTGGCCATAGATTGCCCCTCTAGATCCGTTAAACTTTCTCACCCCAAAGGCTAGGTAATCTACAAAGCTTGTCCTACTCATTCACCTTAGCTTTTCGCCCTCAATGCTAATATTCTTCCGGCTCTTGAAATTGTTCCGCTGGTATTTGACTTCCCCGACGTCTTTCTGGAGGAACTTACAGGTATGCCGCCTGACCGGGCAGTTGAGTTCATCATCAACTTGGAACCAAGAACTGTGTCGGTTCAAAATCATCTGTGTAAGATATGTCCCGAAGAATTAGCCGAGCTCAAGAAACGGGCAAAGGCTTCATTCGACCTGAATCTTCCCCATGGGGTTGCCCTATTCTTTTTGTGAGAAAAAAGACGGTTCTCGGCTTCTTTGTGTTGATTACCGCCCTCTAAACCAAAAGACCATCAAAATAAATATTCTCGTCCTCGAAACAACGGCCTTTGTCCGGTTAGCCCGAGCCAAAATCTTCTCCAAAATTGACGCGGGATTGGGCTACCATCAAATCAAGATCCATAAAAAAGATATTCCCAAAACTGCTTTCTCTACTTATTATGGCTTCTACGGTACACCGTTATGTTCTTTGGCGTCACTAATGCGTCCCCAACATGTTGGACGAAATGACCGAGAGAAAAAGGCGGCCAGGGGGGAAGATAAAATTTCACATCACCTGTGTAAAATCTTCTCTCTCCTACCCTACAATGTTTTTTACGTCACCAAATTTTATATCACATGTTGGAGATGGTCCAAGTCTGCAGCCGTGACAACATGCATTTTCTACGCGTGGACGGATGGTCAGCTAATTGGCCAAAGAGAAAAGGTCGAAACCACTAAAGCAAAGGCAATTCGAATGATAACGACGACCCACAAGTCCCAATCACAAAGGGGCGAGCCTTGGTGCTCATGTCCTCCTCCCCTTTTATTCCTTCATCAAAGCAGGCAACGTAGTAATGCTCGGGTCAAAGATGTTTCCGGGTGGCACCTAGCTGGTCAGCAGAGGCACCATACGCGGGGCAATTTGTCAACGGGATAAACAAGAGGCGTGCAGGCCTAAACTAATGCAGATCGGCAGCCGTAATGTCAACGGCGCACTCGCCAAGCCGCCATGGCGATAGAAAATCATGCTAGTTTATGCTCCTTGACAGCATCTACAACCGGGCGCGCCTGAGAGAGAGGTCCAGTCAACCGATCCAAACGGACGACTCATATGGCTAAAACGCCGAGGCTGACCAACGCTTCTCATATCCAATTAAAACTTAGATAGATATGAAGAGGCCTGGACATGTCTGGACGCGTCCATCACATCGAAATAGGTCCATATTGGGCCACTCTAACCCCACATATATTCACCGTCCTCCGCTTCCTGATATAAATTGTAGCCACTTCATTCCACTCCACTTTGTCTCCAACTTCTCTTCCAGCGATCTTTGGCCTCTCCGGCATGGCGTTTAGCGATCTGACTCCGACCACCCCTGATCCATCGACTAGGGTGTCGTCCCATGCGGACAAGAGGAGGCTATGACCGTCCGCATGGCCATCCGCCGCTCCCGGGAGGAGTGCGTTCGACCGATGTCGGAATCTGTCCAGCATGAATCCATTGCGTCGGCGCAACTAGCGCTCGGATCTATTAGGGCTGGAGGCTCGAGGTTAGTCTATCACTCCATCTCTGGTCTGCCGACGTATGAGTGCTATAGGGACCGGTGTGCGCTCCATGGGTATTAGGATGCAGGTGGCCCATGCCCGCCTCGTTGCCGCCATGGCGGAGGCGGCGGTGCGTGCTGCCTTGGAGGAGGAAGCCATATGTGCCTGTATCCTACAAAAACGAAAGAGGAGAAACACGTGCGCCCTCGTCCGAGAGCAAAATCGAGGTTCCGCCGAATCATCCATAGAGATTGTAGAGTACCCGTTGTGAAAATGAAAATGAAATTTGAGAGGTGACCGGTCATCGTTTGCGGACAGGCGTCCGTTGACATTTCAAGGGTCGGATTTGGTGTAGTATGTGAGTATAATAAATTGCTCTGACGTAGAGCAGTGGTTGGAACTTGGAACTAGGAAGCTTGCCACCCGTTTCCAAGGGCTGACTTCCGAGGCAAGTCAGATTGCGCATCTCCACTCCACCTCTGCCGAATATTAAAAAGGCATGGACCGAGATGACATTTTTCGCTGTATTCTATGCGCATCTCCAAAGTCCAACCCATTCCTGAGATCACTGCTTTGTGTTCCCTTTTGCTGCTAACCAATCCATTGACTTGCATCATTACTTTGCTCCTCCCATTTCAACTTCGGTTATAAAACCCCTCGGCCTCTGTCCATCCATTTCCACCTCAAATCTCGAAGTCATACTTGTACAACCAAGCCGAGAACCGCCGCGAGCAGCAGCCAGGACCGCGCCTTTCCCCGTCCTCTCCGGCGCCGACTATGGCCGTCGACTTCGTGGGACGCGGCCACGCCCCCCGTGGCCTCGCCCTCGCGGGCGGGAAGCAGCAGCTGGCCTTCCACGAGGCCGCCGCGGCGGGGCTCAGCAGCCTCGAGCTCCTCGTCTCGGCGCTCTCCCCGCGCGCCGACTGCGCGCCGCCGCCGCTCGGGGAGATCGCCGACCAAGCGTTATCGGGGTTCCGCCGGGTCATCGACGTCCTCGGCCGCACCGGTCACGCCCGCTTCCGCCGCGGCCCTGCTGGAGCTGCCGCCGCCTCGTTGACTCCCCCTCCTGCCTCTTCTTCACCTCCTATGCCGGCCCGGCCACCGGCACCGGCAGCCTCGCAGCACCTGGCAACCCAGAAAAGCCTGACGCTGGACTTCACCAAGCCTTCGAAGGCGCCGGCAGCGGCAGCCGCTGCTTCGGTGACGTCGACGTCTTTCTTCTCGTCGGTGACGGCGGGGGGCGAGGGCACCGTGTCCAAGGGCCCGAGCCAGCTGGTGTCCTCCGGAAAGCCGCCGCTCGCGGCTGGTACCAAACGCAAGCAACAGCAGCAGCAGACGCCCTGCGCGAGCGGCGCGCACTCCGACGTCGCCGCCGCCAGTGGCCGGTGCCACTGCTCCAAGAAGCGCAAGCACCGGATGAAGTACACGACGCGCGTGCCCGCGGTGAGCTCGCGCACGGCGGACATCCCCGGCGACGACTACTCGTGGCGCAAGTACGGGCAGAAGCCCATCAAGGGGTCCCCTTACCCCCGCTGCTACTATAGGTGCAGCACCGCCAAGGGCTGCCCTGCGCGGAAGCACGTGGAACGCGCCACCGACGACCCCGCCATGCTCGTCGTCACCTACGAGGGCGACCACCGCCATGACACTTCGCCGCCGGCCGCCGCAAATTAAAGTTCCCTGGCAGCGGCATCGACAGGACTGGACACCACTAACTAAATTTTTTGTTGTTGGATTTCAAATTTGTTTTCTTACATATGTATGCAATATACTTGCGTGAGAAACATAGTAAGAGCATCTACGACCGGGCACCCAAAGCCCCTATACACCCCCTCGGCCTCACATATATTAGCCCTCATTCACTTACCGGACAAAACCACCACTCCACTCCACCCTGCACCATCCCCAAGCTCCCTTTCGGTGATCTCCGGCCGACTCCGGTATGGGAGCAGCGGATCTCACTCCGACCACTCTGGATCCATCGATTGGGACGTCAGCCCATGCGGGAAGGAGGAGGCTATGGTCGTCCGCATGGCCCTCCGCCGCCCTCGGGAGGGGTTTGCCCGACCTAGGTCAGATTCGATCCAGCGTGAATCCACTGTGTCGGCGCAACAAGCGCTTGGATCCAGCGGGGCTGGAAGCTTGAGGTCCATCTCCCGCCCCTTCTTCGGTCTAGAGGAGTACGAGGGGTTATAGGGACCGGTGTGCCCGCCGTAAATAAGCAGATGGGGGCGGGAGTGCGAGAACAACCTTGCGGTCGATGTGGTGGAGGAGTCGGCACGCACTACCGCCATCTGTGCCCGCATCATCCACAAGCGGCAGAGGAGGAACATGCGCGCCCTCGCCCGAGAGCAAGCCCGAGCGATCCGTGCCATGGCCGGGCTGCCCCACAAAGAGGAGGGTGATGAAAGTATCTGGACGGGCATCTTCGGCGAGGAGGAGAACCAGCTTGATCCATATTGCGTCTTCGACTGCTACTTCCGCGACAAAGACGCCAAGGGCTCTGACAAGGGCAAGCATGGATGATCTGTGTCCATAGCTAGTATGTAGAACATGCCAGATTTCGATATTCCGATGGCATGCATTGATGTAGTAGCCGGACGTTCGTATAAGAAGTTTATGATGCATGTGTTATATTGATTTGAGGTTCGTTAATTGAGGTACTCGAATGTGGGAACAGAAAATTAAGGTGTGACTGGTCACTGCCTACGGACGCGCCCAGTCGCGTCCGCGGACGTATGAGGGGCCGGCTTAGCCATATGTGCCTGTAGATGCTCTAAGCAGTGTTCAACAATGAACCAATGAACCAATAAAACCGTCACAACTATGAACATAGCAACTAAGGGCGTCTTTAGCCAAACCCTAAAAATTTAGCCCCTCGGAAGCCCACCGCCAGGTTATACACGTGTGTCGCCTGCTCCTCAGAATGGAATGTGTTGAGCCAATGACTTTTCCACGTGTCCGGTCGTGGATTTCCGATACCCAAGTCCCAGACGGGCGTTGCCACACGTTGTGGTACTTCTTCAGTGACGGTAGCGGCTGAGACATAGATCTCGAGTTGAGGGCTCTCGACGGCTGTGCGGCCCCGTTTTGGACGCAATGTTGATCTCGTGATGGCCCTCCTCATCAATTTGGTGGCGGCTGCTAGCGTCTAGATTCGTCCAATCGGGCAACGACGGGCAATTCGAAGAGGGGCTGGGTAGAGTCGGGGATTGTGGTGCCGGCGGGGGCATGGGGTGGTGGCGGGTGATGCCGGCGTGGATGCGGGCGAGCGCATTAGGGTGGCAGGCATGGGAGAAGAGATTTTGTTTTCCTGAGAAGTGGCTTCGGCCACTCAAATTTGAGGCGCAGCCGACAAGACCGGTTGAGGATTCCTCAAAAGATGGAATTTTTATATCCTTTTATAAGTGTTCGCCTAGAGATGCCTTGAGGGTGTATTTGGTTATATATATCCTCCCAAACATGTCTAGTGGATGCAACAAAATCCTGTTTGGTTGCGTACAAGAGGTGTTGGTCCACACTCCACACACGCACAAAACTTCAAGCAACCTAGAGCCTGGTTCCCTACGAACGATTGGATCAATCTTACGAGTCACACTGAGTCGGACATAAAAGAGGGATGGTGTACACGACGGTGCAGGGGGGATCAACACGAAGATGATAGGAGACCAAAATCTACTGGCCGCGCGGGAGATGACGGATACCTGAACGTAAGATTGAGGCTTGACCCAATCACCAGCCTGGAGAGAGCGCTTAAAATGATGATTGTCTGTTGGTCCTTCATACGCTCATGAGCTCGCTCCAAGTGTTGCTTGAGCAACGCTGTCATGACAGCAGTGGCAGAGGCGTCGATGATGATGAAATGTCGTGGTGGATGGGAAGAATATCAGGTGGTAGTACCATCACTCAAATGCACCCATTCCAGTTTGACAATTTTTAATTTTACATGTGTTAAAAAAATCAAAAACATTTATGAATGTTCACCACATATGTATCTACAATCTCTAACAGATTTCACTCGTTTCAAAATACTGATTTTACTCGTTTTTAAAAATCGCTTTATTAAAAAATATTTCGCTCATTTTTTTTATGATTTCAATTGTTTCAGAAGTAACATTTACTTATTTCAATCAATTTAAAAATGCATGCCTTTCAACTAACAGATTTCACCCATTCCAAAATATGGATTTCACTCAAAAATTATATTTCACTCATTTTTAAATATATATTTCGCTTAATTAAAAAATCCACTCATTTCAAATAAAAATTTCACTCGTATTAAAATACTGATTTCACTCTAAATTATATTTCACTCACTTTAAAATACGGATTTCACTCAATTAAAAAATTCGCACATTTCAAAAAATCTGGTTTCACTCGTTTCAACTAACAGATTTCACGTATTTCGAAATGCTGATTTCACACAAAAGTATATTTCACTCATTTTCAAATCCAGATTTCACTCAATTAAAATATTCACTCATTTCAAAAAACTGATTTCACTCATTTCAAAATGTTGATTTCACTCGTTTCAACTACTCCCTCTAACCCGAATTAATTGATGCATGATGCAACCTCTATACAATACATGGTATAGAGGTTGTGTCCATTATAATTCGGAAAATCAATTTCACTCATTTAAAAAAAATCAATTTCTTCCATTTGAAAACAACGGTTTAACTTCAGAGAAATGAATTCACATTTCAAATAAACAATTGCACTCATTACAAAAATCACTCACTCTCAAAACTGATTTCACTCATTTCAGATAACATTCACTCATTTCAAGACAACAATTTACTTGTTTCAAAAAACTAATTCCATCCATTTCAAAAACATGTTTCACGCATTTCAAAACAATGATTTTACTTTAGAAAGATGATTTCTTAAAAAACAATTTCACTCATTTAAAAAAATCACTCATTTCAATAAACTAATTTCACACACCAAAGCTGGATGGAGTGAAAAATGGATTCAAATGTTGAAATCTAAACGTGTTTGAAATGTATCCAAGATTGATTTTGTTCTAAAGATCTTGGCGCTAGCAGTTCAAGTATGTAATAAGTTTTGAAAACAGGCTTTTGGTTTAAAAGATATGTACTATTTAAACTGTTAGAATGAAATTAAATTGATATATTTTTTATGGGAATAAACTTGTATTCCACTTAAACTTGGGCTGTCATCTCAGCAGTCACCATGATGGAAACAAAAGTCTGGGACATCAGTTGCCCAAATGGAGAGGGGCATATCGACACCCATAGCAAATTGCGCCAACGCATGCGTAACCTTATTACAGCCCCGAGTACAAAACATAAATCATAAAGCTCAAATGAGATGTGGCATAAACTTCTTGCTTCTCTGAAAAGAACTCCCAGCTCCGCAACAGTCATGACCTTTTATTGCTTATCATTGTCAAGCAGTTCGATTCAAAGATGACCCATTGTGCACCCAGATCAGAAGCTCCCTCAGTAGCCAAAATTGAACCAAAATTCCATTGTTTTTCCTTGGTCGGTTGATTATTTAGATGGAAAGATTAGTTCTGTTACAAGTAGACAGATTGGTTGACACACTTGGATACGTGAAAAACCCAACAATCGGTGAAGTTATTTCCTCCATCCGGGATTATACGGCCGGCTAGCCACGAAGCAACGCCTCCTTTTATTATTAGACTACTGATGAGGAAAATCTCTTTCTAGACGGACCTAATTAATTGCACACCTAATTAACTGCCTGACTAATTAATTGTATTAATGGATTGATTCGATGCAAAAAAATCTGTATTTAAACAGATCTAATTAACTATCTTGCTAATGAATTGCATTAATATTCAAAAAATTTCGAAATTATTTTTACATCAACGATCGCATGAGACAAAAGAAACGATGTACATACTCCCATTTAATAATAGAGATAACTAAGTTACAGTATGCAAAGATAGTTGCTAAAAAACAATCTATAAAGATAGAAATTAGTATAAATAAATGTCAATGATGATCAAAACAATATGAAAGACAACAATTAATATAAATAAATGTCTATGATGATTTGCCCTTGCTGCCACGTCACAAGGGCAATGCATCGTGCCAGTCAGCTCAGGTATCTTCGGTTGCCATTATTTTTTGAAATTGGCCTCAAAGTATCTCTATTCATTAAAAAAGAAGGAGCCAATTGTTTGATTTATTAACACAAAACCAGATGAAAACCATCACAACGCACCCGTAAGACAAAGGCACCCAATCTACCCGGCTACCACATGACATACACGCTGTCGAAAAGGGGAACACCATCGAGGATTTCTACGAAGAGTCATCTGTTGGGGAACGTAGCAGAAATTCAAAATTTTCTACGCATCATCAAGATCAATCTATGGAGTAATCTAGCAACGAGGAAAAGGAGAGTGCATCTACATACCCTTGTAGATCGCTAAGCGGAAGCGTTCAAGTGAACGGGGTTGATGGAGTCGTACTCGTCGTGATCCAAATCACCGATGATCCTAGTTCCGAACGGACGGCACCTCCGCGTTCAACACACGTACAGCCCGGTGACGTCTCCTACGCCTTGATCCAGCAAGGAGAGAAGGAGAGGTTGGGGAAGACTCCATCCAGCAGCAGCACGACGGCATGGTGGTGGTGGAGGAGCGCGGGACTCCAGCAGGGCTTCGCCAAGCACTACGA